TTCTCAATGGGGAAAGCTGTTTGAAAATAAATGGAATGGACCTTACCGTGTTGTCAGTCAACTACCTGGAGGATCCTACGCGCTGGCGGAATTGGACGGAGCTGAAGTAGCTAGAAAATATGCAGCAACTCACGTCAAACCTTTTTACCAAAGAGAAGAGGAGGAGGAAGAGGAAGAATGAAAACTTACAGTCACGGTTGCTACCAGAAGAAGGGCCATGTGGCATCCCATCCTCGTACTTAGGGATCAAGTTGTGGACATTGGCCTAAAAATAAATAAAAAAATCAATTAGTTGAAAGCTGAACAAAAAAAAAAGGAAAGAAAAAGAAATTCTATTTACAAACTTGAATCCACGAGAGATGTCCATGTAGAGCTTGACGCGGGCCTCATGTTCAAGAAAGTTTTTAGGGTAGTTGTCACGACAGTAAATGGTGATTTGATTCATGACGAAAGCGAAGAGAGCGTTGAATTCCGGCTGGGTAAAGCAATCGCCATCGTAGATACTGTAACCTGGAGGCGTCAAGAGCATCGAGATCTCCATCTCCTCAGCTAATGGAGAAATCGCCGGGCTAGAGTCAATGAAGATGGGGGTTTGGTCGGTAACTTTAGAGTGGCTAAGAGGAGGATAAAAAAAAAAAAAAAGAAGAAGTCAGGATGTAATGAACAAACAGGGAAAGAAGAAAATAAACGCACGAGTTCATTTTCTTTTTTTGGGGTTCCTACAAGTATAGAAAAATATGAAACAAGTAAGATGGAACCATTAGAATTAGTTAAATAAAGAGGGTTAAACTTATACAAAAAGAAAAGAAAAGCGAACCTGGGGCGTTTACTGTCGATTATTCAAAGCGCGATAAGTAATAAACGGGGGAAAATGCGGGCGAGTGTGATTCAGATAGACTACATAAAGATGCAAGCCGCAAGAAGTTAGTAAAATTGTCAATCAAAATTATCGATCGGCAAGGATAGATTGTGTAAAGAACGAAGAAAGCGTACCAAAGTTGTTTGTTTCATAAGAAGCGGTGTGGATGGAAGGAACGACGAATAAGAGTAAAAGTGATCGTACGATTAGCGATGCTGAACAAGTAATAAGAGATAGGAGCGAGGGACAAACTCAGTCGAGGAGATCCAAAGACGCCGGAGAGAACAAGCGAAACAAAAACGAATCGAGAAAGGCTGTGTGGACTGGATCGGGTGGTGGTATCGATGCTAACTAGAGCAGAGACCAGGGAATTAAAGGTCGAGATCAACAAGTAATCGCGTTGTTGAGAACAATAGGAAAAAGTAAAAGGTTGTTAGTTGGCAAGTTGGTCAAAGGTGGGTAGAAAAACGATAATGAAAACGTACCGAAATTAGTTTTTTTTCCGACGACGAATGAAGAATGAAATCGAAAGATAAACGGTCGTGTCAGCAGTTCCGATTAAGTTAGGATAAAGGCTATTTTTCAAATTAGAACGGAAGCTAGCAAACAAACCTTTGTTAGTCTTCGGGAGTTAGCTGCAAGGGTTAGGATCGATACGATTGAAGAGAGCTATAAAAGAAATAGAAGCAATGTTAGTAAACCAAAGTAAAGCCAGGCAGAATACAACGACGAGGGCTAAAAAGAAAACAACATACCTTAATTTTTCTTGGGGAACGAAAAATCAAAATCAGCGAGGTTGGAATATCGGTGTGGTCTAGAGACTGAACAGAGGGCTTGGAGATGGGGCGTTTAAATAAAACCGGAGGCACGAAGGGAGTCGAGGGATCGAAAAAAAAAAGCTGGGAACGCCCGTCGATAAAAAAAAGATGAAGCACGAAGATCGAAGTCGTCGTAGAATAGGTGTTTCGGATGATTCTTTAATCGACTCGGCTAAGTAGAGAGAAAAGTTGGCCCATTGTCGTTTGAGAACGCGAGTTAGTTTTGGATCACCGATAGCCTTCAAATCGAAGAAGAGGTCGAGGAGGTGGTTGTTTGAAAGAATAGCAGTCCGAGTTTGTCTAAATGCGACTCGAAGGTTCAATTCAGCACAAGCGTTGGCCAGAGAATAGATTATCGAAGAGTAAAAGAGAAAACAAGAAGTTAGAGTAGTAATCGGTTAGTGAAAGGTTGAAACGACGGAATGATAAGGGTCGAAATCGTCTTACAAACAAATAGAAAACAAGATTAGACGTCCAAAGATCGAAGAAAGAAGGCAAATCGTAGATCAGTCGTGAAAAGAATGTGTTGGAAGGAAAGCACTCCAGAAATGAATGGAACGAGATCGAAATCGATTTGAAAAGGGAACCGGTGAAATCGTCAAGGATCGAAGTTGAATTTGTCCATCCAGGCTTGATGTTTAAAACAACACAAGGAAATCTAAGAAGACGGGATTCAAACTCATCGGCCGAGTCAAATCTTGGAGGAAAGAACCATCGAAGAAAAGGGTTTCGAAGTGGGAATACGAGAATTTCGGCTCGAAGATGGGTGAATCGTCGCCAAAGGAAAATTTAAGGTCGAAGTCGATTAAGTCGGTCTAAAAAAGTGAGGACGCTTCCAGATGATCGAGACTAAGCTACTAGC